CAAGATATTACGTAATTGTGAAGTAGCATACGTTTATCTGATACCTTGCTGTTCTCATTCGAAGAGGGAAGGTCCTGTTCAAAGACGTGTTCTTCCTGAAAGTTCGTTTCCATATTACATCTAATTCATGAACGAATTATTTTCAACACAGGTCTATTATTATTGCACATCCAAACGTGCGAACCTTAAAACAGCACGAGAGGTTCATACATCCGTATCATTTAACACTCTCTGACAATTTGGTATTTTCTATTCGATATTTGGTAACATCAATAGTAAATAAACGTTTTCAAATACACAAGAACAATAGACTAATCAGTTATGCATTATAACAAAAACGAGGATCAATAATGAACAAATTCATAACCGCTAAATAGTAACAGCACAATTAACATTTATTCAAACATTACGAAAAGAGAGGTCCTGCTGTCAAGGAAATTGCGCAGTTCCGGAAAACATTTTTTTGGGTTTTGGTTTATTTTTTTATTTTTAGTGTTCTGTCTGACGACAGCTCCGTTTCCTCGGCAGATGATTCAGAAGTGATTTGCCATTGCCTTCTTCTGTGTGAATGGAGTAATTGTTGGTATGCCACGGAGAAACCGGGGAAGCCCCCGGAGGGAAACTCCGTGATGCCTAGATCACGGCCTTGCCCAACACAAGTTATAAATTCGGGCACCGCCGGGAATCGAACCCGAGACCCCAGAATTACAAGGCCAGCGTTCTGACCGCTAGATCATCGTGGCGGTCCTTTGGTTTATTATAATACTTTATTTTACTCACTGTTATTAAATTACGAATAATGAATAAGAATTTCGTTTATCAAAATTAATCACGAAATTTTTTTTACAGACCTTGAGGTTTTAAATTTAATTTAGCTCAATTTCAAAACAGTAATTTTTATGGCTTTCATATAATTTATATATTAAGATATTAAAAAGGCGGTTGTGCCATTTATGGACGTGTGAATACATCCGCTTTCCAAAAATACCACAATACGTTCTCGAAACGCTCATCTCAAATTTCATAGTTATATTTAAAAAATGTTAAACTAGATTCCTGCAAATTACATTCGAATCGGGACAGGTCAAATACGTTTAATGACGATAATTATATACACATTGTTCTAACGGAATCCTCAACAAAGAACTGACCACATCAACACACGGCTGAAACAATAAACGACGAATGGGGACACAGACTGTGTTACAGAACACAATATCGGGAAACATAGCAAATGGCTTTGGAATTTTACACTTGTACCAGCGTGTATTCGGTTCGAAACAGCATTTTCATGGAGTATTAGTTATATTGAAGCCATTCATGGAACATGACAACACATAAAAGAGGATGACTCTCATGGTTCCTGAAAGGAGCAGGCATGTCGACTGGTAATTGAAGCCAATGTTATTCTGGCTTTACAGTTTACTGGTCATTGTTAGCAGCCGAGCTATAACTTAATTAGTGGAGTGTGGCCCATCTCTGGGCTACAGAAGTATCAATTCAGATCGAGTTAACGACTGTGACATCTCGGAGTGCAGAACCTGTTTCATAATCGATATACCAGAGTAGTTACATAAATATACGTTACCTGTGTTGCATTTTATCACTTTAGCATATCATCAGAATATAGGGTAATATAATAAGTACGTAAGATCTGTTAATAAAACTTTTCAATTCGAGATAAATTCAAGTGCGTAAAAAAGCAGTTTCGTATGGATTCTTTATGGGAACAAGGAAAGATTAAAATCAAGAAATAAAAGTTAACCCTGAATATGGAGGTGATACGTTCCTGAAAAATGCTGGTAACCATTTATAAGACTACACAGCGTTAAAAACCAGGACAACACAACCGATTTCTTCAACGCCGTGAGAATCTTACATCTCAGGTCAATTTACTTATTTGTATTTACATATTCACGCAATTCGTACACGTATAAACCTTTTACAGTACATATGCCCAGTATCGTAGTTCCGATTTGCGCGCATTTTATTGAGCAGATACATGTTGGTACTGAAAAAACAATTCCTTTGTAGCGTCCTTCGTAACATCAAGTAGACAGAAGAAGATAATTTATTATTTTGATTTCCGTCTTCCATCTATTCTCGTTGCTATTGTGACGGAGTACGGGGAAACTTCTGAAGTCTTTGTAACAACTACTACTCAAATCGACAGAAATAATACAAACTTCGCGATACAGTAGAAAGATACTCTTTCTCATTATAAATAATTCCACTGAGAAGAGTCTTTTAGGTTGTAAATAAATTCTCCGCCTTTTATGAAACCTAGATGTTCAGAACAGTGTTCATAATGTTGAGGTCGACGATGTTCTTCCGGTTTATGACTCCGTCTAGACTCGTAAGTAGATACCAAAGTTGGTTTATACCTATGAGTCTACGCGGTGTTACAACCCGTAAGAACATCGCCAAGACTTACAGGTCATGAACAGAATGAAGTTCTCAATGCTGTTAATTGTTTGTACTAGGCTAAAACACAGTATCCACAAATTTTAATTATACGACATGATTCTAAAAACAAATTTTCATAAAATAATATCACCTCGGATACTCCTTCATCTTTATAAGAAATAAACAATTTAAGATGTTTTACAAACAGACACCAAACTTCATGCCTGTATCAATAATATCTGCACGCTGACATGTTAGCCTGAAGGTAGGGCTCCATCATGCACCTGTATTCGTACTCGTTTAATGGTTGGTACACCGAGGCTCTCGGAAAATCCGTGTCATGGATCACTGCCACTAACTTGAGTGGACTAACTTGTTTGACTATCAGTAAATTACAGGTTGACCAATATGTTCACTGTTGTAAGAAGTGGTCTGTCAACTGACTTCTTCTATATCAGTAAATTTCATTTCTGTGTCAATATTTTAACAATAAGTTCTTCGCAGTTTACGAGCTGTATAAAAATACACATCTGTCGATGACAATGATCGAGAGGTCTAAGGCTGTCACTGTCATGGATCACGACTTCATATCCCACTCGGGGTCATGAAAATGAGATAGCGGTTTTTCTGTGTAGACAGAGGTTTTCTGATCGGCCGAACCTCTGTACAAGGAGTACTGCCAAATGTCTGAGGATTAAGAGTTTCAAAATTAATTTTGAGAATCGGAACACTGCAGACGTTTCAATTCGTGTGGGTGTCAGAAGACACTGAAAAATGGACAGCAGCTGCGATTAAGGTCCATGGTAGACAACAGGTGGTTCATCATCTAAGGGTACCAACTATCCACCGTAAAAATATTCTCTGCTACGAACTTTAAAATAAATGCCTTCAGATTGTGAGGATTCTTTTAAAAGAACCGAAGGGAAGTTTGAAGGACATGTGAAGTTTCTATGAGATAGGCGTCCAAGAGCCAGTGGCTATTGAAGTAACTGAGTAAAATTAAATATAAGTGAACAACAAAAAGTTCAATTACCTGAGGAAGATAATGTTGAAATGAGAAAATGATAATATTTTGATTAAACTGTAATGTCATCAACATTCTGCGACTCGCGAGTTGATAATGAAAATCAAATGTGATCCTACGTCTGGGAAAAGTCGAGAACCCCTGGTCTACAGCTTGTGTTTTCATGTACCATAAAGGGGAAATAAAGCAAGACCATCAAATCTTAGAGTGCTAAGCCACAGGCTAGCGGCTGTGCTGCCTCAGTTCGACATTGAAGCACCACCTAATATAGGCTGCAGCCGTTAGGTCAGAACTATCTCGAAAGAGGGTGTGGGAGATCGAGATGTGACTAACATGACGCTGTTGGACCTCTGCGACTGTTTGTTCGTCTCTGCACAGGCAACGGTGGACCTTGAAACGCTTTAAATAACGTATCCACCTACCATCGAAATCAAGACCGTACACACCTCATACAATCGGCAATGCAATCCCAAATAAATAATTTCGATTGCAAATACAGTTTTTCCGTTAAAAACGCAACACTATTGCACGTTAAAAACTTCACGCACAAAACGACGAAACTAACAGAAATATTGAATTCTTGTAGCCATATTCCGCTTTTGCAGATAACGCGTTTCTTTAAATCGTTACGACATTAATTTAAACTGTATTTCGCTCTATGAGCACTTGTCAAGGGTGTGTTGCACTGTCGTATCACTTCAATGCGCATTTTTTAACCACAACTTTAAATTACGATTCGTTAACACTTGCAGACTTAAACCACACAGACTAGTTACTGACAACAAACATGTGTCTTCTTTAAAAACATAATAACCTTATTCACCCAGTTTAACAGGATTATACGTATTAAATGGGTCACGATCACTTAAATTAAAACCTACATTTTACTGTACGACTTTGTGATTTATTGTTATGTTTGTTGCTGTAATGGCGGACCAGATTTCGATCGTAAAGTAAAAAAGTAAAGTTTAACTTTTGAACGAGTTTACAACCATCATCTGTACAAAACGATAGCACGGAAGTATACTAACAAAATTCAAAAAGTAATTCAGAGCTACCAAATCAGTATTTTACATGCCGGAGTTTTTAACATGCATTATACACGAATATATAACTAGTTCTTCCGTAAATTACTCTGGTACATGTTTACTCAATTACGTTTCAGACAATAATTTAGTGCGATTTCAGCTTCCCAATGCAGCGACTATAAAATGACTGTCTCTTGAGTTGATGCGCCGCGTAGTTTTGTAGAAGTTTACCGACGTTTCAGAGGTCCTTCCTGCCTCAATCATCAGAGCGATGAGATTTAGATGGCAAGCACCTCTGAAACGTTCGGTAAATTTATACTAGACTACACGTCGCAACAACCCAGAAAATAGTCATCTTCAGAATAATTTCACTTGTCCATAAATATATTCACGATATGCAATGCTCATCTTCGACAAATGATCTTGGAGATGTCGGGCCTGCAACCAGTTGATACAAAGAAAATGTAACTTATTTCCCTGGTCTCCCTTACACACTTCGTATCACTACGAACGTTGCACTTCGTGACACTACACTTGCGTACCTTGTGGTAGCCATGTCCGTTGCGTCCTGCAGCGGCTTCGCCGTCGAGAGGTCGCTTCTATGTGGCTGTTGCTGCTCGGTAGAACGCCAGACTTTGCCGCTGTCGGGGCTTGGATTCGTACGCGTCTGTGACTGTTGTAGGACCGGTTCTTCGCTCGCCCACCGCCGAGGCCCCTCGCCTCGGCCCGTGCCACCGGCAGGCTGATGACCTCCGCCCACTCCACGACCGCCTCCAACACCATCCTTAGAAGACGACATCAAGATCTGCAGCGAGAGCAAACACCATTCAATTAACACATCCAGAGTTATAGTGAAAAAAGTACAAATCAGTAAACGTTACAACTTATTTCAGTGTCTTCATTGACTTCCGTATGCCGTCTTTGTCTCTTTCGGACTTACGAAGCACTGCAAAGGTATTAAAGGTTTGCGCATTTATTCCAACAGGGAGGCTGCCTACAATAAAGAGCGTTCTGTGAAATCAAAGAACAGTCTACAACAACACTGCAATTGAATTTTCCCTGTTCTTTATTAGGTCTGAGTCTACAGAAAATTTAACGACGTCTCAGTCTTATTTGCGACATCTGAGGATTCTGAGTATGGTCCAGCAACATTTGCTTTCAAACTAACTAAAATACTAACTAATTAGCAGCAAATATCGACATTGATTACGTACACTGAAAGCGGGACGGATTAAAATTTTCTATGCAGTAGACGTCTTCAGGCAACAAATATTTCGTAACATGATTTGTCGTGTAAATTTGACAGCAAATGATGGTAATAACTTTCAACAATGTCACTAATGTTAGTTTCTTCCATTAATTTTATCATTTTTGAACTCACTGTACATATTAGATAAACCAGTACGTTTTGTAATTAATGCTAGTACTACCGCACTTCACAAAAATGCACTGGATCATAGATTAAATCTTATCTAAGCCTAAAAGATACGTGAAGATCAAAGTGAGAAAGGATTTGAAAGACAACGACAGCGGCCTATTTCAGTTTTAAGATCCAGCATTTGTCTTAAAGGTAAGCCAATGACGTAAATTACGAAACGTTAGACAAATACAATTTTGTTCGCAAGTACTAAAATGCTCTAAAAATGTAAAAGAGTTTGAAAGAGTCTAGAAGACAAGTAAGGACCCTTAAAGAGTTGACTCAGTATACTTAGTAACTAAATGTGATTATCAGAAAATATTAATTTTATAGTGTCTTAATTTTGCAAGAACGTTATATAAGAATTGGAAACAAATTCGCATAAGTAATTTTTATAATTTTGCCACAGTAATTCAGGTCCCCTATTACCAACACAGTGACCGTAGGTAGTACCAATGAAATTGCATGGTGCGATTTCAGGTTCTGACGGCGGCGATTATGAAGATAAGTATTTGATATTTATAATAATTAGCTGATCCCACGATGGATAAGAATGGTAGGCCTAAATAACCTGTCATGTTGGAATTGGAAAGCGTCTAGATATATGGAACCATGTCAAAACCACAAACTGCCTTGCAGAGCCGAATTGGGATGTGAGCGAATTCTAAATCATGGCGATGATTTCATCACCAATATTTTTATTTTATACGAATATCACAACAGATTTTACCATGTACGCCTATCAAAGAAGAGTTCTGTGGTGAAAAATAATGAGGGTATAACAAAATATAACCTAATCCTAAGATTTACGCCTATAACGTTTGTTACGAAACATTATTTGAACTAAAATCAAGTCATGTCTCCAGGAAAATTGGTTTATGACCACTCACTTTTGTTAATTTTCTGACTTAATTCGAAAACGAATCACTTTCTGCATCAACACGGAAAACAGAATGATTACGTTCTGAACCACATAAAGTAATAAAATGATCTTGATGTAAATTTACTTCCATCACTTCGTGTCTACAATTTTAATTTCAGAGTTTCACTACGTTAGTGAAACCAGCTTTCGGCCTTAGGGCTTAGTACAGAATAGAGATTCGTAATCGTAACAACTGTCGCTAGGGGCTGATTTCCGTGATGTAATGTAAGGTCTGATTTATGCACAGAATTTCTGCTTGGGAGGGAGAAGCTTACATACGTTTATAGATGTGACTGACATGGCCCAGCGGGAAAAGGATTTTGCTCGGTTACAAGTTTCATCAGTCTGATTCCAGATTAAAGATATACAAATCATTCGAAATTAAATAAAATTAATCACTCAGGGAGACTCATACTTTTACGAATGATTTAATATAACTTTGAATTCATCACTATGACACGATTCCGAATACAGCAAAGAAGAGACTTAGAATTAATACTTCGCGATGTTAGCAAATCAACGCCAAGCGTCGCTAAGCCTTGTGTCCGGAAGCACATTCAGTTTGTAACTCAATAAAACATACCGTGTACCCATTAAAAAGTAACGTGTTAATAAAGTTTAAGGAAATAATCCGTATTTATTATGAGAATCATATAAAAACTACAAACATTCCCTGGGCAAACCGCAGGGCTACTAAATATTTAAGTAGATGGTACAACTGTGGTTACAGAGTTAAAATATTACTGACAGACTAAAAGATGCCATTAAGCATTCTAATTTATTTGTACCCTCTTCATTCTATCGCGTTTCTGAAAGAGTTGTGGAGCGATAACCTGGGAATTATAACGTTTAAGAAAGTAAAAATTATAACACCATTTGATACCAGAGTGTGTTTGTGATCTGCATTTACAGATTAAAAGTCTACGATGTTAATCAAATTTGTTTTCAGCTATCGAGTTTAATAATAAAGGTAAATATGTCGGGCTTTTCTGAATGCAAAGCAGTCGAGTAAACGTCTTACTTGCAGCTAAAATCCATACTCTAGAAGTAAGTTACACAGTAAGTTAAACCACTTAGCAAGCTTTTTGTACGGTATGTTGCTTTCATGACACTTTATAAAATTTAAAATGCTGCTACTGCTGCTTTCGTTAAATGTGTTTGCACAAAGCAAATGCTTACACGTCTTAACTACAGATTAGTCAAACTGAAACTGAGAAAAATCCAAACAAGTTATTTAGAACGTTACAGATTTCCCATCTGTTCGTGCTTTCCAGGAAAATTAACTTAAGTTTTCGAATAAAGTGGGTTTGTTGATTAACTAGTAAATTACCCAGTGATTGAGTTAACTCGCCTATATAGTTTATATTTCATACTTCGTAGCAAACAAAGTGAGTGAGAATTAATCAGTAAATTTCGAACGGATAAAGTTTAATACTCACAATAAAGGAAAAATTACTAAAACCGGCACAAATCGCATTCAACCAAAGATTCTGTTGCAGAACAGACAGCATATAGCATTTATGATTGATATACTGTTTTTTTATGTTTTGTTAAATAGTCTTTTAGTTAGGTTCGCCAAAATGTTTGAAAATGCTCGTATTAGTTTCGCCACGTCCGTCAGAACAAACAACTCGAGAATAGCTGAATATATTCTCGAGACATTTTATATTGGTGAGTTCTACCGAAACTTGTACTCACTTTAAAATTTTGGTCAACATCGGACACTTTACATAGAAACCAACATAGCACGTGATATCACCTGGTGAATCCCTGCAGTGACTTCAACGTCCGGCCATTCCGGCGCCAAACACTCTTACCCCGTAAAAATCATTAACCCCAGACAAATTTATTGTTTATAACTTACATTTCCTAGGGACTTCCTGGAAGACTTGCTGGCTTTCGTGGACATCTTTGAGGTTTTGGAGTCGACGCTACCTCCCTGGTGCGAGTGATGGGAATATCTGCTGAGGGCGAAGACTTCCGCCAGCCTGGAGCGAGTGGCCTTGGAGTTGGAGCTTGCTTTGGGAGGAGCGGTTGCCGAGATGGGTGAGGTGACGGCACTGTTCCGCCTGTCGGGGAACACGAGGTGCTCGATGTTGGGTGTGTAGCTGGGGTCGCTGCGGACCAGCTCCTGCAGCAACTTCCTACCACCGTTGCTTCGAAGAAGCTGGGCGTTACTGAAGCCGCGTCGCTTCCCGCTACTGTTCGCTGAAGTGGTTTCCGCGAGCTGAAGGAGTCGGCTTCGGTGCTGACGGATGGTACCATCGTCCCGACTCATTATTTCGACTTCAGGAGAAGAACGCTAGCATCCTGCGGCAAGAACGACGTTTTATCAGTTACACAGATCACGAAGCGAATTTCTGATCCCTTCCTACGCCACTCAACGACGCTGTATTACGTTTTGAAATACACCGACTTACTGACTCTATTTGGAACAATTCTTACAGCATTGGAAGAAACATTTTTTGAGCAGAAGTATTATAAAAATAAATGTAGTATTTTTAGAAGACTGACACACTTGCAAAATTTTACACATATCTTAAAAAGAGTCTAACTGAACTGAGGAATTGGGTTAGGGCGTATGAAAGCTTCCTACTCTTTGTTTATTGCTCATTATCCTGACATCTATAAACGTTTTTTAGTTCCATTAACTTATACCACTCAAGTGATAGTTTTAACTCTTGTTTAATTCGTCTTAAAATACGTTTATTGGAGCTAATTTACATCGTAAAACAACTTTATGTTCTATTTTATCACTCCCACTACTCAGACGGCATTGCTAAGTTACTTGGCTTTCTTTGTACCAAATTCTAATTAAATTCGTCTTATAATCGTAACACAGCTTCACAATAAAATTGTTTTAATTAAAACCAATGTAAGCAGGAAGAATACCAAATATAGTGATGAGAGACAGAATACAAGAGCTCACCAACCACAATCATAATCATATGAAATTTTAAGCTTATAGAGGGTGGGTGTACCAATTAAATTACAATTTATTGACCTTTTATAGGTCTATACATTTAATTAACGTAATCCGCCCTCGGGGTTAATCCGGAGTCCACTTTATTCATGAACAAATCTGCTTTGTAAAGGAAGACAGCAGATTCAGAAAGACCCAAAATGGCATAATAAGCCTCATCTCTCTTTCCTTCGATGTGACGTTTCCTAGCGGTTAATTTTGCCTTCAATTGTCCTACAGCAAATGCTTACTGATTACTGAGTCAAATCTCTGAACTGACTGTCAAATGAACAGGTCTCATAAACCCAAGCGCTGCCAGCAACCACTGAACCGTTTTATCTAACAAATTTCTAGAGATACTGACGTACATTTTAAGTAATTGAACTATTCTGGATTAAATAAATGTACCAAATTTATAATTTTAATAATTCAGAACAGAAATATCATCACGATTTGCATGACTGAAGTTTGATGAAGGAGTGTGCATCTTCGGAGTTCAATATTTGAACAAATCGCATCTGCTTTGAGTTTAGTTTCTCTGTAACTTGATGCCAGAAAGGAAAAAGATGAAACAAGTTTTTATGTACGGTTACATGTGACCAATACTAAACTGAAAGAGTGCGTTACAAGGCGCACAGAGTAGAACTGCGCTATCCGTTTAAAGTCAAACGAGGTCTGAAGAGTTGCCAAAACAGGAAACCTGCAGGTTCGCGTACTCCACTCCCTAGCTGCTGGCCTACAGAATATTGCAACCTCACCTCTTGAACTACTGAAATGAAGATTTGTTAACAGCTCACTTTTTCTGCCAACATACTGTACAGATGTTGTTCTATTACATTCCTATAACTCGCTTCTTGTTAAACCGCGGAGTATTTTTTTTTTTGGGGGGGGTCATACATTACTTTGAAGATACTATACTATACTATACTATACTTTTTAATAAAATTATCGAAAAGGACACGTAAAGGTAATATTTAAACAAGATAAAAAATCAAATGTGGCTTTTATCGGCGGGGAAAATATGGGTTACTGTTTTCCGGATTATGAAAAACATAAAGTAATCAACCCTGAAGACGGAGGCGATAGGTTTCTCCGAAGCGTTCGTTAATCACTTACAACAATGAATGGTGTCGTAGGTCAAAATACCACAACCATATGATTAAAATTTTTGCTTAATATTTTTACTCTGAATATACGGGTAAATCTCGACGTCAATTAGAATATTCAATTATTGACAATAGGGGAGATCATACAACACTTGGCATTGTCTTTTTAATGGGTTATTATTAGTCGCGGTATGGAAGCGTACCCCAGCTAATAACCATTAAATCTCAATTATAACTTGCTGGTAGGAGGTTAATTAAGACCGTTCCAGAACACTAACAAATTAATCCTGTCAAATCCAAGAATATCACTGTTATAGATAGCAGTGTTACCTCAATTTACTTATAATATTCGTTTCCTTAGCTCAGTTTGGTGTATAAATATATTCTGAGTCTATAATATAATTAATTGAGATAAAAGTAAGAAAACTCAACAAACTGTGGAACAGTAGGGCTTTATAACGAATATTCTGGTATGAATTAATTTTTGTAACTTGTTCATTGATTACAATATGAGCAGAGCTGCTTTTTATTCAGCGTAAATCTATAAACACAGAAGTGGCTTAAGGAAAATAATTTGAAGCTGTGAGGGAGAGAAAAAACAACGAATGAAGGGGACGCCATATATTTAGAGAGGAAGAGGATGTTTTTTGCATGTTATATTAAAAGTTCCGTGACGAGAAACAAGAAGAAACATTAATTTTTTTGTATGGAATGAACTATAACGAGTATAAACAATGAAATAAGGAAACTGCAGAATGTACTAAGACTGTGCAATTAAGGGATACAGAAGAATACTTTATAAAACTAGATATAAATGAAATAACAAGATTAGTAAGCCATAAGTGGGAACAAAGGAAGGGAGGGGAGGCTTCTAGTTATAGCAATAACATTTGTGAAACAGTATAACACCATTATTAGAGGCAGTTATATTAGACCGCGATACGCAAAAACTCAGTATTAATTGGACAGTCTTCTGTATACAGAACTCAACACAATGAACGAATGGATGAATAAAAGAGTGTTACCTGTAAATATACAAGGTAATGTATAATGACCCATTAAATTAATTCCACGCTTCGAACAGAAACTGTGATAATGAGAAAACCTTGTCCCACAGAGTTGTATATCAGCCATAGAAATAATTCAATGCGTATAGTCAAATTTTGGTGGCAGCATAGAAATGGAGACGCTTACCATGTCTTACCATGGAAACAAAGGAGAATATAATCATGGCACCTCGTTCTGATAAAATATAATGTAAAACACGGCAAACATGCCAATTACACAAAATTATTTCCTGGGTATTTTTGTATTACGTATTACCAACTTAACAACGTGAACATAAATATTGCATTTATATGAAGTAAGTCACATCTCACAGAACTTCGTAGCATTTATTTTAAACATATAACATTGGAAACAAAATACACGTGTAGACAGCCATTATGAAAACGAGACTCCTGATTCGGCTTCTGAACAATGGAATTTATATCTGCATTATATAACCATTATCATAAATTCAAATTTTAAGTTATTATATCAACAGAAGTTAAAAAATAATTCCAGTGTTTGAAATACTGGATGCATTATACTCATGAGAGAACTAAATTATTTCGAAAGTAATTTAAATAATGTACTTGTTAACATAGCAACGAATAATTCGTTATAAACGCTTCAAAACTGAAAAATGAGAAATTATCAGAACTCGTCGTGCTCTGTTTTAGAGTTGCGTGTACATAAAACGTCCAGTTCCAACGTCTAAACACACGAAATAGGAAACATTAATTAGTGACTCAATACGCAAGCCCGTCGTAGTAAAAAGATTGAAGCAAATATTCCTTTTTTGGCAAACGTTTTAAACGCAGACATAAAAGTAATGATCGGAAAGTTGAGTCCATTATATAAATTACAGAACACAATTTGTGATCTCGTAATCTAACAGAGGATCTACATTTTATGTAATATATTCCGAGGTAATATAAGGTTGAAAGGACGAAAGATGGTTGTGAGTAAATACTGATTTAGTTACAAAGAAGCAAACAAAGCATATTAAAAAGATTTAGATTAAACTTTTCAATCCTTGTGCGTACTATATGCACCACTGCTTTAACCAAATATCAGTAACTCTGAATTTCGCGCACAGAGCACATTCATGGGTTATACGTTATTCTCAAATTAAACAACGATTACTTATCTAAACCGCATTAACCAACTTATCTCTGTAACAGAAAGTTGTTTTCTCTTCATGGCAAGAACAAAATTCTTATATATGTTATTTAGACGAGCACTAGATTCAAAGGGTTGTATGTATGCCAGAGAGACGTAAAGTTGTAGGCTTAGGTGGTGAACATTCCATCAAAAGAGCATTATTGTTGTAAAACAAAATACTTATCTTACAAACGTCACTCAGATGAAAGCTCCACTATATACAATATTCGTCAGCCGTTAAATTTCAACATCCACTCTTCGTGGTTAATTTTGCGAAGACGAAATAGGCGTGTTTCAACGCCATTGTTTAGATATCATAAATTGCTTGAACGCGTTTAATTAATATAGGCGGGATCATGCAATGCTTAGCTTTCAAACAGCTGGCCTTGAATCTTACCAACCCAAAAGTACTGAAGCTGTAACTGATGTAACTCGTGAATCCCACGTAGAGCGTGGGCCACAGGTTAACACACCTTGCCATTCTGGCACGCCGCTAACAACATGTTATTTCTCAACGGAAGCCAACAGCTATCCACTCGGATTGCACAGAACAGTATAAAAAATGTGATAAGGGACAAAGGAACTATGCATTACAGACAGCATTGATTTCCTGATGTCCATACGTCATTTGTCACAAGGGAACTGGAAGTAGGATAAAATAAATTAAAAGGAAAAATTACCTCTGTAACTAAGAACAACTACGTAAAAAGCCACTCCATAAAGACATACATATGGGAAGGCGCTAAACTGGCTACCAGATGAGAACTATGAAGGACTGTCCCATGTGGCGAGAGACGAAACAGTCAGCGTTTGCAAGCCACTGATTGTACGGATCATTATGTGTCTATCACTATTTTTAGTTGTGAAAATATAGTACAACACGCTGTTTTCCATTTCCGAAGCTTTTACTCTATTTCTGAAAACCAAGGACTAAGCCTGCACGGACAAATATCAGATTTTTCACTCATGAGCTACAGACTCCAATTTACAAGGCGTTTAATTAATCCCAAGCGTGAGGCGGAGAAGAAATGGCT